GAATAGAAATGATGGGATAGAATAGAATAGAATAGAATAGAATAGAATAGAATAGAATAGAATAGAAATGATGGGATAGAATAGAGTAGAGTATAATAGAATAGAATAGAAATGAATAGAAATGATGGGATAGAATAGAGTAGAGTAGAGTAGAATAGAATAGAATAGAATAGAAATGATGGGATAGAATAGAATAGAATAGAAATGATGGAATAGAATAGAGTAGAGTAGAATAGAATAGAATAGAATAGAAATGATGGGATAGAATAGAGTAGAGTAGAATAGAATAGAATAGAAATGATGGGATAGAATAGAATAGAATAGAAATGATGGAATAGAATAGAATAGAATAGAATAGAATAGAATAGAATGGAATGGAATGGAATGGAATAGAATAGAATAGAATAGAATAGAATAGAATAGGATAGAATAGAATAGAATAGAATAGAATAGAATAGAATAGAATAGAATAGAATAGAATAGAACAGAACAGAATAGAAATGATGGAATGGAATGGAATGGAATGGAATGGAATGGAATAGAATAGAATAGAATAGAATAGAAATGATGGGATAGAATAGAATAGAATAGAATAGAATAGAATAGAATAGAATAGAATAGAATAGAATAGAAGGATAGGAACAGAATAGAATAGAATAAAAATGATGGGATAGAATAGAATAGAATAGAATAGAATAGAATAGAAATGATGGGATAGAATAGAATAGAATAGAATAGAAGGATAGGAATAGAATAGAATAGAAACGATGAGATAGAATAGAATAGAATAGAATAGAATAGAATAGAATAGAATAGAATAGAATAGAATAGAATAGAATAGAATAGAATAGAATAGAATAATAGACTTGGAAGGGACCTTGGAGGTCTTCTTGTCCAACCCCTTGCCTAGGCAGAAAACCCTACACCACTTCAGACAAATAGTTATCCAACATCTTTTTTAAAAAGTTCTAGTGTTGGAGCATTCAGAGGCCCAGGGAAAAAAAACCAGTTAAAATGGACACCTAACATCAAAAACTTCATAGAAAAAGCACAACAAAGAATGTTCTTTCTGCGCCAACTCAGGAAGCTCAAACTGCCCAAGGAGCTGCTGATCCAGTTCTACAGAGGAATGATTGAGTCTGTCATCTGCACCTCTATAACTGTCTGGTTTGGTTGTGCAGCCCAACAGGACAGACACAGACTTCAGAGGATAATTAGGACTGCAGAAAAAACAATTACTACCCACCTGCCTTCAGTTGAGAACCTGTATACTGCACGAGTCAAAAAGAGGGCTGTAAAAATATCTACAGACCCCTCACATCCCGGACATAAACTGTTTCAACTCCTTCCCTCAAAACGACGCTATAGAGCCCTGCACACCAGAACAACTAGACACAAGGACAGTTTTTTTCCTGAAAGCCATCACTCTGTTAAACATCTAATTCCCACAAAAAAATGGCATTCTGTGATCGAAAGCCTGTTCTGTTTTATGTACATTGGGAAGTTCAAAGCTTTAATCACCATCTTGATTTTTTTTGACCCCTACCCCTAACAGGCCTCGTTTCATGAAAATGAGGAATGCATGGTCTGATGACTGCCTTGGCAGCTAATTTCCACCCTTCCCTTCTCTCTCCTGTTCATCCCTGATCATTACTGATCAGGAATGCATCAGGCCTACTCTATCTAGATCCCACTTCATGCTCTGCTGGCCTCTCTTCCTTCTGCTCCGATCTGCTACCCTGCCAGTTGGTGCCCCTTGGATGTGCTATCCTTTCTGGGACCAAAAGATAAGCAGAGCTGGAGGCCCCTCTGGGGTTGGGCTTCCGTGGTAGAGGAGGAACCCCCCGGAGGGCTCCCGTAAGCAGCTCCGTAGACTTCCTCACCTGTGGAGCTCCAGCTGGTAATTGATCAGATCGACCATGGCCTGAGCATCAGCCGCAGAGCCGGAGAGGGCACAGTAAATCCGGTCGTGCAGGGGCTCTAGCTTGTTGAAGAAGCAATTGACCACCGACTGCCTGGAAAGAAGAAGGCAAGATATTGAAAGCAATCGGAATAGAATTAGAATTAGAATAGAATAGAGAATATAGTAGAATAGAATAGAATTAAGAATAGAATTTAGAATAGAATAGAATAAAGAATAGAATTTAGAATAGAATAGAATAAAGAATAGAATAGAGAATAGAATAAAGAATAGAATAGAATTTAGAATAGAATAGAATTTAGAATAGAATAGAATTAAGAATAGAATAGAATTTAGAATAGAATAGAATAGAATAGAATAAAGAATAGAACTGAGAATAGAATAGAATTAAGAATAGAATTTAGAATAGAATAGAATAAAGAATATAATTAAGAATAGAATAGAATATAGAATAGAATAGAATTTAGAATAGAATAGAATTTAGAATAGAATATAATTTAGAATAGAATAGAATTAAGAATAGAATAGAATTTAGAATAGAGTAGAATTAAAAATAGAATAGAATTAAGAATAGAATAGAATTAAGAATAGAATATAGAATAAAGAATAGAATAGAATTAAGAATAGAATAGAATATAGAATACAATAGAATAAAAAATAGAATATAGAATAGAATAAGGAATAGAATAAGGAATAGAATAGAATAGAGAATACAATAGGATTAAGAATAGAATAGAACAGAACAGAATAGTAGAGACAACAGAACAGAATAGAACAGAACAGAATTATATTATTTATTTAAGGAAATTTATATTGCCGCCTATTCACACTTATTTTACCAAGTGTGACACAAGGAATTTGTCTCCAGTGCATAAGCTGTAGTGTACACACAAGCAACAAATGATAAATAAGGATCATAATCATCAAAATACATTCACTATAAATCATAAGGAAAAAAAAACAATGATAGTCGTGGGGTACTAAATAAGCGAATAACATAAATCATACTAGGATACTAAAAAAAAAAGGTAAGTAGTAGGTCATCTCCACCGCTCATCCCTACCCTAGCTTAATTTTTACCTGTGCACTCTGGAGTGGGCAGGATCTTAATTAATTAATTATTTTGAGTGGGGGGAGGTAGAGCTTATATTGGGCGCACATGTAAAAAACCAAGCTAGGACTTACTTTCAGGGTAGGTCGTATTTTCAAGGAAACGGGGTACTTGGATGGGGGACCACTAGGAAATCCCACAGAGGAGGATTAGATTGGGTTGTTGAAAAAAAAAACCACTCTGGAATGAGGCAAGAGCCAAGGACCTCTTGATTATCTCAAAGAAAACTATGTAGGCCTGTCCCTCACATCACCAAGAGTTGACTTGAAGGAGACGTCCACTTCTCCTCTGGGCAAGGAAAGATATTAGACCTTTCTTCACCTTCACCCAGATTCACATATTCCTTCAGCCTCTTACCCTGCAGAAACTCGGGAGTCAGAGCCCACGACGACTCCGCCATCAAACTCCACGGCCATGATGGTGGTCTGTAGAGGAGAAGGGGAACAAGTGTTATTTGTAGAGCAGAAGAGAAGTAAAAGCACTTACCACTGCTGTGAAATCCGCCTGCTGTCGGGGAGGGCATCCAACCAGCCAATGCTCAGCTCTATCCAGTCATCCCGACTCTAACCCGAATTAGGGGGGTTACAGTGTCGTAAAAGAAAGTTTCGTTTAATCGATCAAAAACTCCGCTGAAAGATCTGGGGTGCTGCCAGTTGGTCCTGTGTAGTTGCCAGCAGCCTGAAAACAAAACCAAGCCAAAATCTTGGCAGGGGATCTCAGCGTTTCGGCAAAACTGCTTCTCTTGCCTTTCTAGCTAATTGGATCTGTTAGAATAAGAGAGTTGGAAGGGACCTTGGAGGTCTTCTAGCCCAACCCCCTGTTTAGGCAGGACACCCGATATTATTTCAGACCAATGGTTATCCAATCTCGTCTTAAAAACTTCCAGTCTTGGAGCATTTATAACTTCTGGAGGCAAATTGTTTCACTGATTAATTGTTCTAACGGTCAGGAAATGTCTCCTTAGTTCTAGGTTGCTTCTCTCCTTAATTAGTTTCCACCCGTTGCTTCTTATCCTGCCCTCAGATGCTTTGGAAAAGAGATTGACTCCCTCTTCTTTGGGGCAGCCCCTGAGATATTGGAACAGTGTTATCATGTCACCCCTAGTCCTTCTTTTCATCAAACTTACTAGACATACACAGATCCAGCAACCGTTCTTTACATGTTTCAGCCTCCAGTCCCCTAATCATCTTTGTTGCTCTTCTCTGCATTCTTTCTAGAGCAATGATGTTGAACTTTTTTTGTTGTGGTGTGCCGGATGCGCGTGTGTGTGCCGGCACCCACAATGCAATGCACCCCACCCCCCGCGCAACGCCTCCACCCTGCCCCCTTACCTGCACTGCGCATGTGCGTGCCTCCCCCCTGATTTTCAGCCTGTTTGAGGCCGTTTTCGCCCTCCCAGAGGCTCGAGGGAAGCCTCTGCAGCCTCGGTAGGCCGAAAAACGGATCTTCCGGAAATACCAGAAGTGCCCGTTTTCAGCCTCCGGAGGGCCTCTGGAGCCTGGGGGAGGCCGTTTTTGCCTTCCCAGGGGCTTGAGGGAAGCCTCTGCAGCCTCGGGAAGCCGAAAAACAGATCTTCCAAAAATATTGGGAGTGCCCGTTTTCAGCCTCCAGAGGGCCTCTGAGGGAAGCCTCTGCAGTCTTTGGAGGCTGAAAAATGGGCCCGTTTCAGCACTTCCGGTATTTCCGGAAGGCCCGTTTTTTGACCTCCCGAGGCTGCAGAGGCTTCCCTCGAGCCTCTGGGAGGGTGAAAACAGCCTCAAATGGGCTCCCGAAAATCAGCCGGGAGGTGCATGCATGCACAGTGCAGGTAAGTTTGGCTGTGGCTCACCTGCCCACACAAATGGCTCTGCATGCCACCTGTGGCACACGTGCCATAGGTTCACCATCACAGTTCTAGAGCCTCAACATCTGTTTTACATTGTGGCGACCAAAACTGGATGCCGTATTCCAAGTGTGGCCTTACTAAGGCATTATAAAGTGGTATGAACACTTCCTGTGATCTTGAATTCTATCCCTCTGTCTATGCAGCCTAGAACTGTGTTGGCTTTTTTGGCAGCTGCAGAATGCCAAGCACGGAACATAACTCACTTCTCTAGCCATGCAGGGGAATTCGGGCTGGCAGGGAGCCCCAAGGCCCCTCCCCGTGCCAAGTCCGGCCTGCGGCATAGCAGAAATCTCTCCGAGCCAGTTGTGGCTTTGCATGGAGTTTTACAGGCAGGTGGAAGGTTCAAAGATCAACTTTATCAGCGACTTGGTAGCTGGATAAGAGAACACCTGCTTCCTTTACAGCCAACCCATCCCCCCACTGAACCAGTTTGCTGAGAAAAAAAACAAAACCAAGTGGTACAGATAAGTCCTTGATTTACGACCGCAAGGGAGGCCAAAATTTCTGCCGCTAAGCGAGACAGTATGCTGAGTTTTCCCCCTATTTTACGACCCTTTCTTGCCAGGGTTGTTAAAATAAAAAGATCCAACATGAATCCGGCATGTTGGAAATGTAGAAAGAAAGAGGGTACCTTCTACCACATGTGGTGGTCCTGTTCAGAAGCTCAGAAATATTGGCTTAAAACCAAACAATGGCTGCAAGAATTTCTTAAGGAATAAGTAGAATTGGAACCAGAACTATTTCTGTTAGGGATATTCAAAAAGAAACGTGGAAAAATATATAAAATATATTGTATTACACATCTTAATGGCTTCTAGAATAGCTTATGCTCAATGCTGGAAGCACAACTACATACCATCGGATGAACTGATTATTCTAAAAAATAATGGCATGTGCTGAAGTGGACAAATTGACTTTAATGATACAAGAGAAAGAGGAATCTGAATACTATAGAATTTGGGGGAAATGGTATAATTGGATCGAATTAAGACAGATAGAAAGTGAAGGAATTAAAGAAGCAACTTATAGATTAAATGTATATATTTGCACAAAATTGTATATATTTGTAAATATGCACAAAAGATAGAAATGGATATGGGTGTCACAAAACTGTTAATGTCATGATATTTATTTTTTGTTTTATTTTTAAAATATACAAAAGTCTAATAAAATTTATTTAAAATAAAATAAAATAAAATAAAAAGATCCAAACAAAACTTTTTTTTTGAAAATGCAAATAAACCAGGAAAGTGGTTAGCATATAGACTGAGAAAAAGAGAAGGAACAGAAGCGGATTCCTCAACTAATAGACGATCAAGGAAACCTTTGCTATAGAAATGAACACAAAAAGAATAGTCAAAAACTATTATGGGGAATTATATGAACAAGAGCAAGTTGGAGAAGGAGAAATTAAAAAATACCTGAAAAAAGCAGAATTATCTAAACTACCAGAAGAAATTAAAACAATGTTAGAGGAAAGAATCACAATGATGGCATTAACAGAAGCAATAAAACGACAAAATAATGAGAAAGCATCAAGGC